AAGTCTTAAACTATCAAGGTCTTTTTTCCCCTGAATGGGGCTCTCAGGCAGCCCTCCTCACCAGACTGCTACCACCAATCAACCTCCCAGTGCTGCCAGTCATTTATAGATCATTCAATTCTACGTCATTCATACATGTTATTCTTTTATCATTTATTAAATAGGATTTTATGATGAGACAAGATACCCACTTAGAATATATAATCTGTCCCATTTAATAATATTTTATCTATCATTAATATTCTGTTTTTCTTAAAAGGGGTTATATTGGGTGGCAGTGCAGTTTTAAGTACTGATTGTTTGCACACACAAAAAAATGGTTTATTTGCTTTTTAGAAAATGTAATTATTGAAAAGGCTGAAAAGTAATTATTCAACCAGGTAAAATTTTAGTGACAAAGAAATAGTGTTGTTCATCACACTGATGAAACCAGATACATTACTGGGAGCTGCCCAGAACAACATTCTTCCATTGCTGGTTGCTGAGCAGCTTCACTGAACCAAGTCGGGGTACGTGCCTTACTCAAGGGCCTGTAGCACTTGATCTTAGAGGACAGGTCTGGTGATATTCTACAGCCTACTTTTCTTATTGTCATTAAATCTCACAAAAAGACCAAAAACAACAATTAATTGATACTAACAGGTATTGTGTGTGTATCACAGCCTGATATTTATTCCTCTTTGCCATAGAGCTCCACTGTTGCACTGGGTGACACATTTCCTTTATTTATTATGAAACAACACTGTCCTGCTGCCAGAAATACTCACAAAAGCTGAAAATAGCCCCCAACTAATGCACTTTTCACTGCTTGAATAATGTCTGATATGCTTGTCGTAGTTTGTCGAGCTAATTTGAAATACTCTATTTTATATACTGTTGGGTAGTTTAATCAGTGTGCAACAGTGCATCCTATTTAAGTCATCAGATACATGTGGTCAAGTGAAATGTACAATATTATCTTTGAATTGAAGAATTTTTAAGTAGCATGAAAAGGAGATATGCAAGTAAAGTACAAACATCTCACATTTACAGTTAAGTACAAGACTTGAGTAAATACCTACATGTGATGAAAGATCAAATCAGGAAAATGTCTGTATGTGGATTTTCATGTAGTGTGAAATAAAACTTAATGCCAGGACAATAGGAACATATTTATGGAAAAAAGTTTTGTGGAATTATGGAAAAGTGAGAACAGCAAGTTCAAGCCTGCAAGGGCACATTTGCTTAATTTCTCACCTGCCTTCTGTGCTGCTGCTGCACTTTCTCTTTCCCTCCAGGTGCGGTTGTGCCGCCCAACTCGGGTCTCTTCTTCTGTAGGACTACTTTATATTAGGACTGCATGAGTAGGGGAGACCTGGGACGGTTGTAACATTTTTGACATTTCTGCCTGTATCTCAGAGATCTTTTAAGTTTAAGTTAAGGTTTTATTCAACTCTTGAACACTTTCTTGCAGAACTGCTGTGTGTGTGTGTGTGTGTGTGTGTGTGTTTGTAGGGATGACTTACTATCAGTTATGGTAGTGACATAGTCATTAACACAATAATAAAACTTGACAAAATGTGCAAATGTGCACTAAGGGAATATTAGTGTGTGTTTGTGCTTGTTTGTCTTGCATCCTCACAGTGGTGACAGACATATGGCACTCCTGGAGTGCAGGACTCATGGGCACACAGAGATGCCCACAGGTTTAACACTAACATTTGAAGTAATATAAAACAATAAAACATTACTGTGTGAGTGTCAGACACAAACTGAAATTCAAAGAAAACATATAAATACAACTAAACATTTTCATTGTTGGTACAAATAACCCAGACCCTTGTAGCAATGAGCTAACTTACCTTACAACTTACAGCATGAAAGATATCTACATATAGGCCTACACAGAACAATAATTTAAGTTTGATGAGTTTAAATACAAAGCAGGCAATGCTATAACAAAAATAAATGAAGTAAAAAATCTCCAAATTATTATTTTTCCTTCTATAATTGGCTGTGCCTGCCACATGGTGCTACTTTTTTCACATGTAGAATAAGGACTAACCTGAGCATGTGCAGAGTTAATCAGGTAATTCATAACTTGAAAGAAATTGGATTAGATGTTGATGGTCTATTCTTATTGTTACAGTAGGCTACAGGTGCTGGAGTGGCTGTTTCTCACATTGATATATACCATGTAGGCTACAACATTTCTGTGGTTACGTTGACGCTCTTACTTATCTCTGACACTCTCAATAGTTTGTTTGAGCTTCTCTCTTTCACTATTTCTGTAAGGATCTCTGGGTTCCTATAGCTTATAAATAAGAAGTATCATTTTAAAATGCAGTAATAAAACTAGTAATTAAAGACAGAATATAATAATACTAATTAATCATCAAGGGTTGGGTTAAAACAAATATACCATGGTTACGCCCTTGTATATAACCGCAAATTCAACATGTAGAATATGTGTAGAAAAGAAAGAGGCCATTTTCAACAAAATAAGACTTTTAAATAACATGATTATGATAACAGGAAAGAATTCAACTAGTTTTGTGAGCATTGTCTGTTGTGCATGTAGCCATCATGAATTTTAAGTAGAGAGGGAACGTTTGCAAGAAGATCTCAAGAAGGCTGGAATTCAGGGTCTTAATATAGACACAGTTATAAACCTGTGGATCAATTGAAAAAATGTGGATCATCCAGGCAACAGGGTGAATGGGTAGGATTTAATCTCTGGACCACACTCCGGTGCAGAACTGCACTATTTGTCAATATGTCTATATTGTTTTGTTCATAGTGTGTATGTTAGTGTTGTCTACTCTGTAGTTTGTGTCTGATTTTATTTTATTATTATTATATTATTATTTATTATTGTATAAGTAAGCACATCGTGAGCAATGTACAATCCTGAGTCAAATTCCTCGTATGTGTAAACCTGACAATAAAACTGATTCTGATTCTGATTCTGAGAAGGGGGCAGTAATGCACCGATAAGCTGGATGCAAACCGCCGAAAAAGAAGAAGAAGAAGAAGAAGAAGAAGAAGTAGAAGTAGTAGTATTGAGTGAGTGAGTGAGTGAGTGAGCAGCAAGCTAGTCAGGGTAACTGTCAAACAAAAATAAATATTGCAGCCGCATGAGAAGATTTTAACGTTGGTAAGAACAACAAATCGCTCTGTGTTTCCGTAAGTATCCAGTGGTAGTTGACTGCTTTGTGTTTCACTGACTGAGCCTCGTGTCTGCAGCCGGGCGACATGCTGTAGCTGGTCGGGTCCTCCAGTTGCAGCAACAATGTTGCCCTCAACCGGCACCATGATCCGGTCTGCTGTCAAGCTGCTGCCACGGTCTAACTGGAGTCGAGGTGAGCCCAGTGGTGTTGTTATGTTTTGTGAATTGTAGCCAAGTAGCCTACTTAAGTAAATTACTTCTACTTTAGCTGAGTATTTCCATTCCATGCTAGTTCATGCTTCTAGCTGCTCCCCTTCATCTCAGAGGGAAATATTGAGCCTTTACTCCACTACACTTATTCGACAGTTACTGGTTAGTTTGTCAGAATAAGATTTTACATAAAATACATAGGGCAATGATAATGATATGACATGATAAAATACAGTGCAGTGTTACAAATTAAAACTGTGGGTTCTAACCTTTTTGCCTTGTGACCTTGTACAGTAAAGCAGTGTCTAGTTTGGGATCCTGTCACGTTTCAGGAATGAGTGGGTGAATTATCTCACGACCCACCAATTTATATTGTGACCCTTTGGAGGGGCCTGACCCCTAGTTTGGGACTAAACTACCAAAATGTACATACTGTAGTTAAAACTAGGCTTACTAAGAGCAGCCTCAACAGTAACATGCTGCCTAAAGATGGATGATTCAGTATTAACAATCTGATAATGTCATAGAAAAGAATTTTACATTAATTATAATTTTAAATAACAGGGGCTATTTTCTACAGAACAAGTAGGCAACTTTTACTTTGATACTTTAAGTACATTTGGCTAATAATGCTTCTGTACGTTTACTTAAGTAAGATTTTGAATACAGACATTTTACTTGTTATAGAGTATTTACACTGCTTTATCTGGTAGGTTTACTTTAAGTAAGTGAAAGCTTAAGTGAGTTTAGCTATATTTCTTATTAATAAAATGGTTCACCCTTAATTGCAAAGTCACCAGTTGCACAGTTACAGACTTCCCATGTTTAGTGTAGTATGTGCAACATGTAGCCTATTCATGCATTTCAACGACAGAACAAGCACCTATCAAATGATATTATTAGTAAAAGTAATCTTTTTAAAAGGAAACTTCACCTCTATCAATATGAACACACACCATGACCTCCGTGTTCCATTGTATAATGATCGGCTATCAGGTGTGGCACCATAGAAATCCCTTAATGCAGAAACTTGACTCTTTTTCGTGTCTGTGATACTATTTTATGTGATTTTTTTAATTTATTTTTTTTATCACTCAATACTTGAAAGTCTTCTAACTTTCTCATTTATTTACGGGTTTAATTGATTGTCTGTGAAGACAAGAATGGCCTAAATGGTATTGTGAAAGTCTCGTCCAAGATAATTGGAGCCCAGAAAGAGACTTGTACTCCTTCTGGGAGAAACCAGTGTCCCAGAAAGCAAAAAGGAATAATCAGCCAATCATGTTTCTGTCCAATGTTCCCAGTGTAATGAATAAATAATGTGCCCCTTAGGAGAAAAAATCACTACATACTTTTAGTCCTTAATTCCTTTGCTATCAGGCGGAAAGTAGTCATTTTAAATGACTGTTATTCCATTATTTATATGGAAAATAACAATGTTTTATTTGATTTACTGCTGCTCGTTGTGTCCTTGTATTGACCTATGAATGTTGATCTGTTGCCTTGCCTGTGAGTTCTTGAATCGTGTGTATGGACTGGGTAAGCTGCAAAGCAATCGCCCTTTGTCTGAATCAAATGAGATTAATCGTCGGGCAAATAAATAAAACAAGTACTTTAGCACTCGACTGGTATGTAATAACACTGTGACTTGTTGAAGAGAGACCAAATATGGCCATAAATGGGGTTTGGTCTATTGTTTTGTCACAGATTTATGTGAAGACCTTAAATATTTGGTTCCAGGAACTGTTTAAAAAGAACATATGGCTCATATTTGCTGGTGACATCGAGGGCGGCTGACATTCTCGTAAAAATTTTGTGTGTGTGTTTGGAAGAGCATTTCAGCTCAAGAGTCACAAGTTTTTGAGTCCCGATACGTTCAAACGACTGCTTAACTGGTTTCAATGGACGCTCAGTGACTAAAGTGACATCTGCATTTAGATCTATGAGAAAGACATGAGTAAATAGGCTCGATATGTGAGGAAAAACAGGAGAGCAACTCTCCCTCAGGTGACTGACAATGTCAATGCAGGACATGATCAGATTGTGTCAACAAGTAGAGTCTGACAGTTACATTGAGAGGGATATTGAAATAAGCCTTAAGTCAACCAAATTGAACACATACAGGAGATTTTGGACCGCCATGTTAGACAGGGCTTCGCATCACTTTCATCAAAACACCAAATATCACCAAATAGGGTAATATCTTTTGTAAAAATGGTGTCCCTCCAGTAGACTTCCAGAGACTTGTAGAATCAATGCATACGATTCATGCAGCATTGCAAGAGTCTTTACCATCTGATTTTTTGTCTGCAGCATGTGTCGGGTGCCCATGTAGACACATTTCTGTGAAACCAGGAGGTGTGAAACCTAAGACAGTTCCTCCTCGGTACCTGGGCCAGCCTAGCCCCTTCACTCATCCACACCTCATCAAACATGGTGAGTATTGTTTCCTATGGATTGCTGGATCAGTACATTTACACTTTTTAGGGAAACCTGCAATGTTTATGGTCTTTAGACATTCAGCAACAGCCACTATACTTGATATTACTTTAGGGTGTAAGGATTCATGCTCTGTAGTGGTACAGGAACTACTCAAGCACACATAGCTCAACACTTTAGGAGTAGAAGCTGCCGTAGATCACAGACAACTCAAGGCTACAAATAGTAATGCACTGTGTAGATGAGCTGTTGTATAACGCTATCTGATCTCTCCTCCTCAGGTGAGGTGACCCCAGGCTTAAGCCAGACAGAATATGAGCTCCGCAGGCACAGACTAGCCTCACTCATCGAGGCCCAGGCAGACAGGCTGGGGCCCTCTGCCTCCTCTAGCACCCATGTGGTCATTGTTTTGTCCCATCCGACCCGTTACATGACCAATGACATCCCTTATCCCTTCCACCAGAACCAGGTACATGTTTGGACTCAAGTAGCATTTCTTTATCTTCAGATCATTGTTCTTGTTGAATAGTAACTGTTTTTAAAGACCTCATCTTTACACAATGGAAAGGAATGTGAAGAGGCAAAAAGTGTATGGCATAATTGTGACTATGCTCTTACTTTGCAGTCTTAGATTTGTAATTTATTGTGAATTTGGATACTGGTTTTTCAGCAAGGCTTTGCTAATTAACCATGAGCCAATTGCTCCCCAGGATTTCCTCTACCTCAGTGGCATCCTTGAGCCTGACAGTGCTTTGGTCCTTTATGGCAAAGGGCGACCAGACCAGGCCATCTTGTTCGTCCCCTGCAGAGACCCGGGGAGAGAGCTGTGGGACGGGCCCCGGTCGGGGAAGGATGGGGCGGCTGCTTTGACCGGCATTGAGAGAGTTCATAGCACAGAAGAACTGGGTGTTGTGCTCAAGAGCCTCAGAGGTGAGAGGACGTGTGATTTGCAGTAATTTCTGAAATGATGGGTCTTCCATTTTACATGAAAGTAAACAAGAGCCAGCTTCTCATTTCTAGCCAATGGCTGTGGATTTTGGCGGCTAAAATGACGACTGTCTCTACCAGATTTTATCAGCTGTAGAAAGTGAGCTAATGCCAAGGCTAAAACTCTGTGAGTGGATAAAATGTCCATCTCCAGCTCACTTTTAAAGATTTCAAGTGTATTTGTTTTAAAATGAGAACCCCCGTAGAAGGGGCTTGAGTATATACATTGTGGCTACATACATTATCTGTATAGCTAATGCTACGACTGACGCTAAAGACTGACCCCTGAAGTTGGAGCTCAGGATTCAGGTCAACATCATATCTGTTAAAAAAAACAAACAAGGAAACAAAGTTTCATGCATTTTATTTGCCAAAGCACATGACAAGTCAGACAACAAGATATTTTATCAACATCAACAGCAGCACCAGTTGATAAACAACACATTACACAGTATTTCACACATAACAAGATTTTAGCAACATGCCTATAGGCAACGGTAAGACAGTATTGTGTGTGTATACAACATACCAGATTAGACACAAAAAAGACAAAAGTGCTCAGCCTTTACTGACAGTCGATGCTCTTCACAGCCATCTTGCTTTCTGAACTCGGGGTCCTCTGAGTTCGACCGAGTTGATGACTAGGAACTCCTACATCCGGGGGCGTTCCATTTGTAACTTCTGGTCTCGGAACTCTGAAAAAATACCTTGAAAACTTTTACAAGAGAAAAAGATGTAAGTAGGAAAAATAACAGACATTTTTTGCAAATGTAATGTTGCTTTACAGAATTTTGGCACAAGTTGCTGTAATGTAAACTCCCCCAAATAAAGCACAGGCCAGTACTGCTTACGTTACACTAAACTCTGATGTACTTGCATTGATGCCGAAATGGATTTTCCAGTCCTGGGGCCTCATTTATAAACATGGGGTACGCACAAAAAAATGCGTATGCCACATTCTGAGCAAACTTTGGGATTTATAAAAAAAAAAAAAAAAAACTTGACGGAAGAATATGTGGTCCTCCGCACAAACTCTGACCAGTGCATACACACATAAACTGGACTCAGAAGGCAGAAGGATAAAATGGTTTGAAATAGATACTGTTGTCTAAAAAAAAACAACAAAACACCTGTTTGATTGATATTCCCTGAAGTGCGCAATAAAAAACGTCATTTAAGATAATTTAAAAAACATGAGATATCTTATATTGTTTGATATTCCCTGGAGGGCATGATTTAGGATAATAAAGGCAAACAGAGATACAGATGTTAATGAAGAAAATTAAAATCCACAGTGGTCCCTGAAATAACTTGAAACTGACAAAAGTTTAAAAAAGATATGTAGGAAGGTTTATTGTCACAATATAACAAGTTATAGAGTGAAATTGAGTTTTCTAACTCTCTTTTGCTACATAGCAGACAATATACATTAATATGGAATCGATTATGAAAAATGGTGAACAGAAATAAACTATCATCACTGGAGCAGTGCTGAGGATGAATTAGAGTTTAAGAGTCTGATAACATGGGGGGGAAAGCTGCTCTGCAGTCTGGTGGTGCAGCAGCAGAAACTTCTACAGTCCCCTCCAAAAGTTTTGGAACGGTAAGGCAAATTTCTTTGTTTTTGTTGTTCACTGAAGACATTTGGGTTTAAGATCAAAAGACGAGTATGAGACGAGACAAGAGTTCAGAATTTCAGCTTTTATTTCCTGGTATTCACATCTAGATGTGTTAAACAACTTAGGACATACCACCGTTTGTATTAGACCACAGCACTCTTAGGTGAGCAAAAGTAATGGAACAAATAATCTTAAAGTAAATAACATTTAATATTTTGTGGCGTAACCCTTGCTTGCAATAACTGGCTCAAGCCTGCGACCCATCAACATCACCAAACTGTTGCATTCTTCATTTGTGATGCTATTCCAGGCTTTTACCGCAGCTTCTTTCAGTTCTTGTTTGTTTCGGGGTGTTTCTCCCTTCAGTCTCCTCTTAAGCAGGTGAAATGCATGCTCAATTGGGTTAAGGTCATGTGATTGACTTGGTCAGTCTAAAACCTTCCACTTTTTCCCCTGATGAAGTCCTTTGTGTGCTTTGGGTCATTGTCCTGCTGCATGATAAACTTCGTCCCCATTAGCCTCAATGCATTTGTCCGTAAATTGGCAGACAAAATGTTTCTGTCCACTTCTGAATTCATTCTGCTGCTACCATCATCATTTACATCATCAATAAATATTAATGAGCCTGTTCCAGAAGCAGCCATGCACACCCAAGCCATGACATTACCTCCACCATGCTTCACAGATGAGCTTGTATGCTTCATAAGCAGTTCCTTTCTTTCTCCACACTCCGGCCTTTCCATCACTTTGCTAGAGATTAATCTCGGTCTCATCAGTCCATAAGATTGTGCTCCAGAACTTTTGCGGCTCATCTCTGAACTTCTGTGCAAATTTTAATCTGTCCTTCCGATTCTTCCTGCTGATGAGTGGTTTGCATCTTGTGGTGTGGCCTCTATGTTTCTGCTCTCTGAGTCTTCTTCCAACAGTGGATTGTGATACCTTCACCCCTGCACTGTGGAGGTTGTTGGTGATGTCACTTACTGATGTTTTGGGGGTTCCCCTTCGAGGGAACTCGAACTCCGCATGCCCAGGCAGCTCTCGAGGGGGCTGCTTGCGGCCATTGCGAGGCCCTGCCCCTGAGGGTGCTGAGGTCCCGTGCGGCTCTCTTCTCCCAAGACGGCAGGATGCGCTCTCCCCGTGGATCGGGCCCGGCGGTCGCTGAGGCGGCGCGGCGGCTTCCGTCATGGGGCTCCCAGCGTGACATCTCTGACGGCATCGTGATTGCAGAGGCTTCCCGAGTCTCGTCTGCTGACTCCGACTCCCCTCGGTCTCGTTCGGGAGCCCGCTTCACGGCTTCTCCCTCTCGAGGTATGAGCCAGGAGAGGCTGCAGCTGTCCGGCTCTGAGGAGCTGGACGTGCTTAGCATCATGGAGGAGGAAGACTTCCGGGAGAGAAAAGCGGAGCGTCATCAGTCGGCGCCCAGCTATGACGAACTCCTAGAGGTGGTGACGCGGGCAGTGAGCAAGCTCCAGCTAGATTGGCCGCAGGATGTACCAGAGACACATGCTACGAGCAAACTGGATGAGCGCTTTCTGCAGCGCCGTGCGCCGCCTCCGCGCCGTTCTCTGCCGTTTTTTCCAGACTTGCATGATGAGTTGTGCAAGTCCTGGTACAAGCCCTTCTCAGCTCGTCTGACTACTCCCCCGCTCTGGGTCTATAGCGACGTAGCGGGAGTCAAGGGTTTTGGCTATGGGATGATGCCCCGGGTTGAGGATGCTTTGGCTAGCTATCTTTCGCCCGGTCATGCATCATCCCTCAAAGAGCCGGCGCTACCTACCAAGCCATGTCGTATGACATCTGCTTTGGTGGGCAAAGCTTACATGGCGGCGGGCCGGGCTGGTGCAAGCCTGTACACAATGGCGGTTTTGCAGGCATACCAGGCCGACCTGCTGAAGGACATAGACTCGGGAGCAGGCCCCACTGAAGAGGATATTGCTGAGCTCCGCCGCTTAGAGTCACAAAGGAGACGGCCCGCGCTATTGGTCGCTCCATGTCAGCACTGGTAGCCACGGAACGGCACCTATGGCTCAACCTGTCAGGCATCCAGGAGAAGGAGAAGACCTTTCTCCTCGATGCACCAATCGCAACTTCTGGCCTGTTTGGCGAGGCGGTTGACGCTGTCGTCAACAGGTTCCAGCATGCCAGGACGCAAGGAGAGGCGTTCCGGCAATATCTCCGTCATCGTTCGGGGGCCAGGATGGCGACGGCTGTGGAGGGACGTGAGAGGGCCCAGCCGTCATCCAGCTCCTACCACCAGACCCAGAGGCAGAGTGTCGCCTCTCGTGCTCCCCCTCAGCATACTCGGGTTTCGAGGTGGCGCTCTCACCCACAACCCCCTGAGACGAGGGATCTGAGGACCGTTCTTCAGTCTCGCCGGGGCCGGGGGAAGAGGTCCTGCCATGGCAGGTCCCTCTGAGGAAGGACCTGCTGTCTCAGGCGCAGGGCCAGGTCTTTCACCCTTGCCCCGCCCTATGGAGACTGTGGGTCTGGCCCCTGAGGGGGCCCAGTTCCTGGAGGCGGGCCTCATGGCAGGAACAGTCGAGACGCTGCTCAGCTCCAGAGCCCCATCCACGAGAAGGATGTACAGCCTAAAGTGGAATGTGTTGCATCGGTGGACCCAGTTACCTGCCCGGTGACTATGGTACTGGAGTTCCTCCAGGACCGTTTCTCTGCTGGCCTTTCCCCATCCACACTGAAGGTATATGTGGCTGCCGTGGCGGCATTCCACACCCCTCTGAGGGATGGGCCTCTGGGGAGGCTTCCACTGGTCGTGCGCTTCCTCCGTGGAGCCCGGAGGATGAGAACCGTGACTCGTTCCAGGCTTCCCACCTGGGACCTGGCGGTGGTTCTCGAAGCGCTGGCTGAGGCCCCTTTCGAACCCCTGGAGTCGGCTGAGGCCAAGCACCTGACCCTTAAGATGTCCTTTCTCCTTACTATCACCTCTTTGAGGAGAGTGGGGGATCTCCAGGCACTTTCGGTGTCTCCACAATGCCTGGAGTTTGCCCCGGGGAGGGTCAGAGCCATCCTGCACTCCTGTCCGGGCTATGTCCCTAAGGTCCCATCCAGGTTGGCAGGGTCCACGGTGCTGCAGGCGTTTCATCCCCCACCTCATGTGACGGCGGAGGACGGGAGACTTCATCTGCTCTACCCGGTCAGAGCACTGAGTATTTACACTCTGAGGTCCTCCCGGTGGAGGAAAGCAGACCAGTTGCTGGGTGTTTTGGGTCCCCCAAGGCTGGACTCCCCGCTTCCAAACACACAATCAGCAACTGGATTGTTCAGACTATTTCCCTGGCCTATCAGGTGTGCGGGTTACCTTCACCTATGGCCGTAAGTGCGCACTCTACTCAAGGCATGGCGACTTCTAGGGCCCTCCTCGCAGGGGCGTCGCTCCAGGATTTTTGTGATGCGGCTGGCTGGGCCACCCCTCACACCTTCATCCGGTTCTACAGTCTGGACCTTCCTTCTGCACCCGGCACCCGTGCGCTCTCCTCCTAGTCGTGCTGTCAGGTGCTGCATGCTGGGGGCAGGCGGGGTTTCGGCGCGGCCTAAGTGGGTATTCTCGTTCCCATAGTGTAGTCACTGACGCAGTTCGAGTTCCCTCGAAGGGGACCATGTAACCCTTGTTCCCCGAGAAGAGGAAATGCAGTCTTTATAGGTTTGAACCAAGGATAAAAACTTAGATTAGTCATGCAGAGCTATTTAATGTTTGGACAATCAACCTAAAAGGCAACATCTGGGCAACAAGAAACATCTGTCAGTCACGTGTTCCAATAGTTTTGCTCACTTGAAAAATGGGTGGGTTCAAACAAAGGGTGGTAGGTCCTGAGTTGTTTAACACATCTAGATGTGAATACCAGGAAATGAGAGCTGAAATTCTGAACTCTTGTCTCATCTTTTGATCTTAAACCCAAATGTCTTGAGTGAACAACAAAAACAAAGGAATTTGCCTTACTGTTCCAATACTTTTGGGGCTGTATATCTCTTCCCAGAAGGCAGCAGGGTGAACAGGCTGTGGCTGGGTGGGTACTGTCCTTTAGTATCCTTTGGGCTCTGCGTGGGCACCTCACCTCACCGATATCACTGATGCTTGGGAGATGGGTACGGA